AGACGGTTTTTAACAATAATTAGTTGATTCATCAATCCTACAACGGAATACATATTTCGGTTTATCGATAATGGTTTAACCAGTAATTATCTGTTTTTAAAGACATTGGATTCTATAGGCCAAACGGTTTGACTGGGGAAGTTCAATCTTTGTTCTAGACTGTATCGTCACTGTCTAATTAAAGTAAAAGAGAGCTTTATTAATTCGTTGCACATGTGCTAATTCAGTCAGCCCTGATGACCTTATTTCCAACCAGCTTCTTTCATTGATCATATGATAGTTATTTGTTTTTGAATTCACAAGAACTACTTTCCTCGGTTAACCTTTGATCGTCTGATACTGAGTTACGTAAACAATTAAAAACATAATTTGTTTTGGAAGGTGAATGAAATCTTGGTTGGACAAGCTCTAAAAATTCTTAAAACTTTCTATAACGATGACATTCAGATAAATCTCTAATCAAGACACATTACGACACATTCACTCATACAGATAAGATTAAGAATTTATATAGTCGGAAGTTAACCTAACAAAACAGTTACCATGAATTCCATGACAGATTATGATTGTAAGACCAGCGAGAACAGACCGTTACAGACAAACCTATGAGAATAAATTGGTTTAAAACTTGTAAAATTATTGTACATAGCTCTTTCTTAAATGTAGCTGGAGATAATGATATTCAAAGTACTGATGAAAGCCTCTCGATCAAACAATCAAGTTCAGAGAATAAAACTCTATTAAAAGGATTCAAGTGAGCTAACAATCGTCTCGATCATTTTTACAGAGTCTCCTGAGATGACAGTTACTTACTTGTAAGACTTCTACTTGTTTTATAAGTCAGATTCACTGCATAAACATAATCATAAACATAAACATAATGATAAGATTGTTCTTATCATAAACTACCATTGAGAAAAGAAACATTTGATTCTCACCATGTTACAGAAATTATTCAAATATATGGATAGTGTAGTGATCAATAGACCGAAGAACTTCAAACTAAATATTTGTTTCTTTTTATTAAAACCAAGTTTATTTATATTAAGATAGCTTTCATGTTTAACATAAAAGAGAAGCCATTCTTTTCTTCACAAGAATTGACAGTGTAAGTACAAGAACAGTCGAATCAAAATGACTGATCTAAGTTTAATTCTTAAAAAAATTACTAATGGATTTATTGAATTGATGTTCAGTCAGTCAGTCAGTCAGTAACAACGTAGAACTTCGTACGTACTTACATCAGTTCGAGTTGCCATACCACATTAGCACAGAGATCCAGTTGTCGATTCAAATCCCGTAGTGGTAGAGGTAGTAAGAGTATAAGCAGTATTCGGGAAGATTAGGGTTCGAAGATGTTATTCAACGAGTATAATCCAGTGAAATAAATTTGGGAGGAGAAAAAGAGACCAGGAGGAATCACGAGATTGGAATTCGGGAGAACATTAAGAGTGGATGCGCCTGCGCAATTGCAAACGATTTTGAGCCATGTCATTCAGGATCTCTAACCATCGGTTGCTATCATCTCGCGGTCCCCAACCAGGTAGTCTACACCTACCAACATGACTCAGTCCACTTGTCAGTGACTTCATGGAGTTGTGCCATGTTTTAATGTTCAGACAAACCATCATTACAAATTTTAAATTAAATTTTTAAAAAAGAAATATCTATCCAAAAATTGATTATCAGTAGTTTAGTAAAATATTTAACTGAAAATTCAATCAAATTAATAAATCGAATAAATAATTCACTTGATTTCCCATAGTAAATACAAACATTTGATTCTTGTTATTTTTATATTCATGGTTCCAGAACGTTAATAATAAGGTCTACTATTACCTAACCGAACATACCGTGTGGAGCTGTAATAAAGAAATTTCAATATTATTTGTTTTTCTTCTTTCTGAGTTATTCTATTGAAAAAGGTCACTTGTTTTTTTTTCATTTGATTGATTGATTGATTGACTGATTAGTAATGAACACTCCTTCACTTTTCTTCTTTTTTGTTTTTGAGTTGCTCAGCACATTTTTTTCTTTTTGCATTATTTTACAATTTTCTCACATATTATGAGATAAAAGAAATGAATTTATCACACCGTTTTTTTTTGTTATAAAGAAAAGAAAATGTCACAGTGTATTTAGAAATTTACACGTCATAATGGTTCATTGTAAATAAGTGTTCCATTTTTTCAATAATAATAATAAGTTGTTTTCATTTAATTGTATCATAGTGTATCTTCTATTTATTATCTTTAAGAAATATTCATAATTTCATATTTAAGTGAAAATGTTAAAATATATTCAACATTGATAACTTATTAATTTTTCAAGGATCGTGTCCATTATTTCAGTTTTTCCCAATCTCAATAGTTGAGATCATGAGTCAACTAAAGCTAGACCATCATGGAAAACCTAGAAGCACTAGACAATCATTTTGTCCTATTGTGGGATTCCTTATCAGTGTGTATCCACGACCCCACTTCGCGGGATTCGAACCCAGGACCTATTGGTCTCGTGCGCGAGCGCTTAAGCACTAAACCAATGAGCCGGCATCTAATCATTTTATGTGCAAAAATTGATTTTATCAATTTTTCAGCGTTATTTATTTTAAGACTTTAAGATAACTGTACCGGTTTTTGAATATAACCACAGATCTTATCATATCAGTATTTATTCAGGTGAATAGAGATTATTAACGCTTTGTCAGTATATGATGAAGATTGGTCGACCAACCGTAAGCTACTTATAACCTGGGACATTTGTACATTCGTTCAAGTTACCATGTTATGTTAGCATAGAGAAATGTCAGAGTTGTATAAATAGTAACAGCATCAATGATAGTAGAGACGTTTAAATGCAGACATATTGATGGAGAAACAAAATACAAATTCATGGAATAAAATGTATGAAATGATTTTGGAACTGTGAATGTAAGAGGAAACAAAGAGTGAATAATCTAAACCTATGAGATTGATTCTCAGCCATGCTAACTAATAGTTTTAACCTATAGTTATAGTAATTATTACTTAGACCCTAACAAGGTAATGTGTCATCTATCAAACGATATACTTTAACCGTCAATGATTTATTGAACTAATCCCTAGTGTTGATGTCAATAATCTACAGTGAAATAATTATTTTCGATTTTAAGAAAATACCTTGTATCTACTATAAAATAATTTACATTTTTTTCAAATTTTTACTTCATTATCTAATTGTAATTTAATATGATACATAAATTATCCAACTGATCATGTGTTAAATTCATTTTTAACTTCAATAGAATAGACATTTATTCTTTTCAAGTATATTCAATTGGATCGTTTTTCTTTTTTCTCCTTTATACTTTAAATAGAAATCACGTTCATTTTCATTCATAAAAGTTCATCATTATAAAATAAGAAAAAGAATAATCTTAAATAACATCCTGTTAACATTTAAATGAACAAAAATATTTTCTATTTAAATTTAACTATAATAACACATGAGTAAAATATTTCTAGAATATCAGGTCACGGAAATATAAATATCTTACATATACATGGATACATGCACTTTTTCTTTTATAAAAAAATAGTGAATCCTTATTTATAACAATATCCATAGTTAATATATATATATATATATATATATATATATATATATATATATATATATATATATGTTTATCTTTCTGATATAATTTTAAAAAAAAAACCAGTAAAACTCTTATCAAGGTTTGACTTGATAATTTCCAATAATCACTAAAGCGTCATGGAGATCATTAAGTTATTGATCGATATCATCTGTTCAATAGTGACTAGCTTCATGAGGGAATTCTCAGAGTTCTAGTGAGAAGCTGTGACCAGTGGAGCTAATCCGTGTCGGGTAGAGAGAGGTACCTACTTCAGTACAATGGAAGATGGATTGGTTGAGGTTAGACATTAACACCATTGGAGGCCGGCTCAGTGGTCTAGTAGGTTGAGCATTCGCGCGCGAGACCGAAGACCCTAGGTTCGAAGTCCGCAGGCGAGATCGTGGGTGCGCACTGTGAAGTGTCCCACAATATGACAAAACGGCCTTCCAGTGCTTCCAGATTTCCAATGGTGGTCTAACATCAATCGGTTCATGATCTCAATAAATAATTTCGAATAAATTAAGCATTGGGTAGATTGTTATAGACTAATATATTTGCAACGTTCTAATGAGTAGAAAGAAATTTGATTTTTTGACGTTTCGTGACTCAATGTAAGCTACTTCTTCAGAGAATAAATAACCAAATCAAAATTAATCCAATTTTAAATAGTACAACTGAACAACAAGAATACTATATGATCAATCCAAAGTTTTAATTCATATTTACATTGAATCATGTTAAATTTAAGAAAATTTCTAAATAAATAAAAGTGGATAATTACAAATTTTTTAAAAAAAAACATTTTTCTATTGGTTAACACCTAAGTCAATTTTTATTGACTTATTGGTTTCATTCAGTGTAAATAACATTGAAGTTTCAAGATTACAGAAATCATACTCACTTGCATTATGCTCAACTGTTAACAACTTGTTATTCACAGTTATATAATATACCCTTGTGGGCCAGGGTAATTTTACATTGGTTTTCAGGACGTCATCCAGAATTTCACGTGGCAACCCAAGCAGTACAGCTTAATCCCGTTTAACAGGAGAACCAGGTAGCATATAGGTTTTAACGCTACAATCTGAATAATACAGCTCAATCCTGTGGCGCAACCACAAAGATACTAAGCACCCTGGAACTTGTACTAAGTTTAAATTATAAATGAATGGGATAATTAATTATTTTAAGTCTATGATTCTTAATTAATTCGTGCTTAATACTTTTGAATATTGATGTACACAACTGTAGTACTAAAAGGTAATTATAACGTATAAAAGTAATTGTAAATGCCGTTAAATGATGATAAAAATGAACTACTCTAAACTGTATTTTTCAAATTATAGATACCTTTGATTTGGGAGAAATTAAAACTAACAAAACTATGCAGTCAGAATTCTTAACTCCTCTTCAAAATGACACAAAAGACAAGTTTGTAAATAATAATAATAATAACAACAACAATAATAATAAACACCTGATTGTACTGCCGACAAACAAACGACCTTCATCTAAAATGAATTCTCATTCTCATAAACCGGTCATTTTGAACAATAAGCCTGATCACATAAATCACTCAGAACAAAATAATGACAGTACAAAAGATTTATTATCTCCAGGTGATTTGGTTAAGGATAGATGGAGAGTTATATGTAAACTAGGAGGAGGCGGTTTTGGTGAAATATATGAAGCAGTTGACACGAAATTAAAACGTGTACAACATTCGTCATCTACATCATCAACATCATCATATTATAATGAATCACAGTCAAATTTGAAACGTTACCATCCAGAATATTCACTGTGCTTAAATTGTGCAACAAACAACACTCTAAACATAGCGGTTAATTCACCACCCAGTGGTCAAAATGGTCCTAATGTAATAAAATTGAAACACGATATTGGCTCAGATAGTGGTATCGGTGGTGTACAAGCCTTTTCATCAGATACACAAATTCAGCATGGTACTAGAATCAATTCAGCTGGTACAACTACATCAGCTTCGTTATCTTCTCGTCGTTTAATACTTACATGCAACGAAAATAATCCTGATAAAAATAACCAAGAAGATGGTCTTATCCATTTAAAATCATCAGCAACTAATAACTATCCTTATTTACATAAGATAAACTCACAGGATTTCAGTGCCAGTAATGCATCAACTCCAAGGGATTCAAGTCAAACTGGTAATCCTGACAAAAAAAGTATGTGTATCAATTGTAAGTGTGAATTACCGCAGAGATTTATTGAAAAATTTACATTGAACAATAAACATGAATCGAATGGAATATCCACTGACTCCGGAATTTCCAGTATAAATGAAGTTTACGACTATCGTGTAGCTATTAAAGCTGAATCTAACCGTCAAGCTAGACAAGTACTAAGAATGGAAGTGGCCGTGCTACGCCGTCTTCAAGGAAAATCGAATATATGTCGTCTGTTTGGTTGTGGAAAGAACGCGAAATTCAATTACATGGTCATGACTTTACAGGTAAGTGGATCAAAAATTAAACAATAACGTATTTATCAATCTCTATCGAAGATATAAGTGGGTTAGAAAAGTTACTTGTCGAGGACCAATTTAATCATTGAATTTTGGTACTGGAGAATGATTTATATCAGCGAAAGATCGTTGTTAGACTACTATTGAAAACCTTACAGCACCAAATGTCCATTTTGTCTCAGCAGTGCGCATTCACTACTCTGCACGCGGTAATCGAACGTGCGACCTTCGGTCTCGCACGCCAACGCTTAGCCACTAGACTATGTCACACCCAACACGGATCGAACTCCCTTGGTCACGGCTTCTCAGTAGAACTCCTGGAATTACTTCTTGAATATAGTGACTATTAAGCACATGGTTGTTATTAATATGGGGATTTATGGAGATTAAAGTATTTACACAGTTGAAATCACAAGTCGATCTGAGCTAGAGCACCATATTGCAGGATGATCAATGGTTAAAAATAATCAGTGTTGTTATTCATAGCGTCAAGTTTGTTTGAATCAAAATGACTAATAAAATCGAATGAAGAAATGAATTAATTTCATGTAATCTTTACGATTCGAAATGTTAGCCTAAAGAGTATTCAGTTCACGGTAATTTTAGATGTTTCAACAAAGAATTGATAAAATAAGCAACTATCGCTCAATCAGTACAGACATAACAATTCAGGCCAAAATCATACTACGTTATTCACTGCTCGGTGGTTAATTGGTGTCATTTCTCAAGTCCTTCAGGAAGTCCTAATATCTCAGAGATGGAATTTCTGACTGTAAAAGCGCTTAACACGGGTTTAAATCCCACGAGCAATTTCATTTCCGTAAGACCAAAGATATGCCTACCTAAAAATTGCCAACTATAACAAATTCGAGTCAGTGTAGTTTTGGCAATCTCCTTCTACCACCTACCATTCTTAGTTTTCTAATGTCGACAAGATAAAGGGACTAACATGTATTGTTCTTATTAAGCGAAGAAAGTCAGATCAACATCTTGACGTTATTGACTGGCTGACTGCTTAATTAGTTTATCAAATAGAATAAAGTATCATCAAAAAAGTAATTTGGGGAAAGGGTGAGAGTAGACAGTAGTGTGGTTTGGTATGTACTAAAACATACAAAACATAGGGAGAGTGAGTCTGCACCACGGGTATCCATTTTAACTCCTACATGGCATCTCATTGTTAAATAAAGACAATATTGAAAATACAAATGATTACAAAGTATTAGTCAAAGATAAAGATGTGGAAAGAGATTAAAATAGTTTTTAGTGCATATATGCGTAATCAAATAACTTGAGAAACTATGTTCAAGGTTAACAAATGGATGATGAATATGTATTCGTGTGTATACATTTTGAGAAATTTCTATATTAATTAAGTTGCAGTTAAGAAGTCAGGTTTCAGCTTTACTATTTAGAGTAGATAGATTGTGGTTAGCACTGATAACCAGAACATATGTCTTATTCAAGACTTTTTAGATGAACGTCCCTGCATTCCACTGTTGATATTCACATTAGGACTCCAACTCAGTGCCTTTCGCTTCAATAAACCGACCGTGTTATCCTCACAGAGCGCACATATATCAGCAGGCAATAATCGAAATTCAGTCCAAAATGCCAACAATGGGATGATTTTTATGATAGTGGTGTTTGGGGTTAAAACACTTCATGATGTATCTTAAGCAACCTTAAAGTCCGACTTTCAACAGAACTTCATGAGTTTTATCAATAGTATTTACGATTCGCTCTTAAATTTGAAGATGCATAATATACTCACTTATTTACTTACGCCTGTTACTCCTCATGGAGGAGCATAGACCGCTCACCAGCATTCTCCATCCAACTCTGTCCTGGGCAATCCTTCCCAGTTGTTTCCAGTTGCTATTGATTCTGAATGGTATAACCTTACCGAATTGATATAACTTTCTGTAGGGAAGTAATTTCATAGTAGTCAGTTTCTATTCAGTCACTTACTGCACTTCAATGTTTATATATATATATATATATATATATATATATATATATATATATATATATATATATATATATTGTTTAGATGAAATATCTAGTGAAAGTTGAAAAGGGCTACAAATGTATGAGAATGGGTTTCTAATTGCAACAAATACTTTTTAATTATTAAAATGGTTAGTCGAATACTGTTCGTTAAAAAGAAGAGTTATTGAGTTGTTATCTATTATTTTTGAGAACTATCCATCAATTCTAACTCCGATTTTTATATACGTGTATATGTTGGTGGTTATGGAATTGGAACTCCCAGTAAATGAGGTCTACAACGCCTCATCATTAAAATGATTAAACTATTTACAAATAAAGTTGACTTCTGTTTTTAAATGTGTCTAGAGTCTCTTCAAATAAACTATTCTCAAACTATCAAATTTTTTCAAGATATTCGTTATTTTCTTCAAATGCAGATGAAATTACTTTGAAAGGTTTTTATTACTTATTACATTTTGCAATTAATTTCAGGGTAAAAATCTTTCTGAGATACGCCGAACTTTACCTGGAGCGGTATTTACACTTGGTACAGCCTTCCGCTTGATTAAACAGTGTATAACTGCTTTGAAATCTCTACATGATGCTGGTTTCCTTCATCGTGATGTTAAGCCATCGAATTTCGCTATTCAACGCGGCGAACCAAGGGAAGGTTCACTTCGTGTAGAAGTTACTTTACTGGATTTTGGTCTTGCTAGACCATATACAGTTAATGGTCCAGGTACTGAGGTACGTAATGCACGACAAGTTGCAGGGTTTCGAGGTACAGTTCGATACGCATCCATTAATGCTCATGCACATCAAGATTTAGCTAGAAGAGATGATTTATGGTCACTTGTTTATATGTTTATTGAATTCGTTTGTGGCCAACTACCTTGGAGACGAATACGAGATAAAGAATTAGTTGGACAAATGAAAATGGCTTTGAATCATAGAGAGTTGGCAATCAAATCTGGTTTACCAGTGGATATTGTTACTGTATGGATAACACATTTAGAACAATTAGAGTATAAAAGTGTGCCAAATTATGATATGCTTATCACTTGCCTAGATGACTGGTTAATACAACATAAAATACAGGAATCTGATTTCTATGACTGGGAAACTCCAAAGACTAACTCACTTATCGATGATACAAAAATTCAACAACCTGGTACGATTACACTTTATAAAGCTGATCACAAAGCAATTTTTTCGGAAAAATTTAGCCAAAAAGAAGTTAGAACGCAACAAATAAATAGTCAGGTGAATGTAGAGGACATTGTTGGAAAACAGCACAGTGGGAGAGAAGAGAACAAAGTGAAAGAGGACGAAGATGATGAAGAACAGATTAATAAAATGAATGAAACATTAAAACCAAACACGCTTTTACAAGTGGTGCGAGATAACCAAATGCTGAAAACGAAGTCTTCAATGAATTTAAACAATAGACATTCAGCTAGCCATTGCAATTTAATGACAAATAGTCGTTCAACGGCTGCAGAAATAAGTAAAAGATTTGCGATGGTAAATTACTGAGACGAAAGAATATATTGAAAAACCATGGTAGTCTAGGTGCTGACTTATCCAGTCATGATGGAGACATAGAGAATGCTATTATTATTGGAGGTGAATGCTCACAGAATAGGCATAATAAATTATCAACAGTCCATAATAGTGCAGACTGTATTTTAATCGACGATGAGCATGAAGATGATGTGAAAGTATTTGCAGAGATGGATCTAGGTGTTGACACAAACGATAAACATTCACTAAGAATATATGAAAATGAAATAAATAACTTGAATAGTACCAAGAATTCATTTGATAATTTTCAAAAGAATGCGACCACAAGTGAAGAGAAAAAAGGTGAAATTTTAATAACGAAATCTCAGTTACCCATCACGTCTAATTCATCATTGGTAAACGTAACCAATAATATTGATAGTTATAAAAATGTCGTTGATATTAAAACTGAAAAACCGGTGAAAGAATACTCAAAATTAATTTGTAAGTTTGTTTGTTTATTTGTTAAAAAAATATGAACATCAATTTCACTCTTAGATATATTTAGTAGTTGAATTCATGAGTCAATTGAAGCTAGACCACCATAGAAAACCTGAGAGTACTGGACAGGTTGGATGCCGGTTCAGTGGTCTAGAGGTTAAGCGCTCGCGCGCGAGGCCGATAGGATCTGGGTTCAAACCTCGTGAGGCGGGATCTCGGATGCACCGTGCCGAAGAGTCCCACAATAGGACGAAATGGCCGTTTAGTGCTTCGAGGTTTTCCACGGTGGTCTAGATTCAATTGAATCATGAATTCAACTAACAAATTACTGTAATATCCACAAAATCCCTCTCTTAGACATGTTCTTATATTACATTTTTTGCTAAGATTCTACTTTAAAAACCTGTCATTTATTCATTGATAAAGTTGAATGACACGAATCACCTCAGTAACTTTATCCTATAGAGAATCTATAATATTACAAACTAGTTATTTCAGTTGTTGTTATGTATAACTAATACAGATGATATTTTATTCTTCGACGAGACTATAATTTATGGACGAACCAATCACTTATAAGATAACAGGTTTCATATTTTGGCGCGACATTCACTCATTCATTCGGATCAATAGAGTTTTGGCACTATAGCTAATGTCAATTCGTGATCAAAACCCTAAATTTAATCCCTAACCATAATCATCAACTGTAAATCATAATTCTAATTCCTCATACTCGTTTATAAACCTCATTCGGTCCTGGTTATTAGCTGGACACGTTGAAGGTTAGTCTAGCGTCGCTCAAACATCATCCATAAATTATAATCTCACTTATTCTTCTAATCCGTAATAATTGTAGTATAATAATCATAAGTAGGTTTCCTTTCTATTCAATTATCCATTAAACATTATGTAAATCGTATTATAGTTAATTGTCAAAAGACATTTGAATAAAAAAATATGTGATAGGCTTAATTCTACTAAATTATTAAATACAATAATATGAACCCGCAGATTTCTTATTCTTTCATTACATTGTAAATCATTGTACACATTTTTTAAAAAATATTTTGACAAAAATAAGATTTCAATCCAACTGTGTTCAGGTAGTTAATTGAGGCTGAATTAAACTTATTGACCCCTTAGTTTTATTTATTTATTTATGTATAACTGTTTATGATAGATTTTACTAGCAAGTGTGCAAACTTATCCATTTCTAAGCTTTTTTTTATAAAATACTATTAATTAATATCTCTTCTAATAATTAAGGTCAAAGAGGTCAGTTAAAGAAGTTATGTTTGTTTCTGTTTTGTTTATAACAAACTTAGCACCAGCATGGATGACTGATTCGAATAGATAGATAGATAGATAGATAAACGTGACTACAAAAGAAAACAATTCAAGTGTAATTCAGTTATTATTCAGTTAGATGCTCCCCTTAGGCAGCTGAATTAAGTTTTGGAGGAATTTCCATAGAGTGCAGACAGTTGGGTATTTTTTATTAATGTAACAATTTCACACAGAAGTCGATTTTTAAAGAGTAGCCGAGTGTTTGTTTTTTTATATTAACAGTTACTCTTAGCGGTCATCTATTACTACTTATTCAATATATGAATAGAACTGATAATAATTGTTTCTCAATAACTTTCATCATTCTCTTAAAAAGAAAAAAAAAGGAATGTTTTCGTAGAATATGAATTCTGGCAATAGATAAAGAAGAGGTTCGTATCTCGCTAGGCAGTATCGTGGATATGCACTATTGAAGAGTTCCACAATAGGACGAAATGGCCGTCCAGTGCTTCCAGATTTTCCGTGGTGGTCTAGCTTCAATTGACTCATAATCTTAACTATTGAAATAGATAAAGAGTTTATGATGAGACAGTTTTATTAAAATGGTTAACATTTTATGAAATATATTTCGAATAATAACCAAAAAGTTGTGTCTTACTCAAAACTGTTTTTCTGCCCTGGACTTTTATCAGAATTATTTTGTCTATCCACTTGTAATAATTTTTACCTGTAAATTTTTATTTAGGTGATTATTTATTTATTTATTTTAACGCATAGATATTGGTATAAGGAGGCACCAAATACATATGCGCCACGCAAATCTCATTCGATATGTGTGAGGGCTGTGATACTGCCCGGGTGCCCAAACCGAAGCAGGTGGTGTTCTTAGGGGTACACACCCCGAACCTTCGACCTGAAGGTCTGATCCATAAGGTAGTGGAGCATCGTAAGGAGATGCAGTCCCATGGAAGCCGGTGACGAACGATTGGTTCATACGCCATTTGTTCCCGCAGGATACTGGAGCCCATGTGCACCATTGATTTGGTTTGGGATCCGGTTAAAGCACTGGACATTCGCTTTTCGTTCTCTCATTTTCGTAAACAACACCCTCGCCACGAGAAGGCAGTGAGTAGGACTTCCCTGGCAGAGGCTGTATACGCGTGTCCATGTGAGAGCATTTCGAGAGGGAGAGCGAACTCTCCCCACTCTCGGCCGTACCAGGGCATTTGGGGGCTATTTAGGTGACTAAACAAGGAGATAAGATATTCTACAGGTAGCGTCACTAAGGTAAATGAAATTTGGTAACCAAATAAGTCTCTATTATATTAATCTAAATTATTGCCATTAGTTGATATTTAAATATCTTTCATTGAATGTTTATTAAACGCAATGCAATTAATAACTAGTTGATTAAAAGAGATGTTGGGTCTTACTAAAATGAACATCGTTTGTAACTTGGAAATTATATTTTTGAGGAGCCGGTAAAACTGAAGTCCTTTTCTTTCCTTTAACTTTTAAGCATTGCTCGTTGATTAGATAAATGTAAAACTGGGCATAAGATGAAAAGAGTTCATAGGGTCACTTTATCGTTTTAGACCGTATATAAGATTCTGAAGGCCATGATCAATGATTGTGCAATATAGTTTGTTCTTAAGTTTCCTACAGTTTTGTGTTATCCCGAAGAACAAGATTTACTGCAGAAGTTTCTAATATTCATTTATCATGAGGACTAAGCTCTTTAGTATGAACAATAATAAATAATAAGCTATAGTTTCAGGTGAATGAGCATCGGTTTCATGATAAATTCGCAAGTTATATTTGATGATATCCAGTGTAAATGAAACATTTTTTTAAAGAATACATTTGAAAGATCAGGTTAATTTGTAGTTTGTTTTTGTTAAGGATTGATATAATTTCAGGCAGCATTAAAAACTAGGAAAGCCGAACGATCAAATTTTAACTCATTATTCTAAAGATAACTGTGATCCTACGAGACTCAGTAGTCTTAAGTTTGTTGGGTAATAAGATCATAATTACGGATGTCTTAGAAACCTCACGCAAAGACCGAATGGGTTTCTAGTGCCAATAGTTTTAATGGTACATTAAATGATGTTACCACTTGTCAGGAATCACATACAAATATTCGAAACTCTTGAGGCATTGGATGTTGTATTGTTCTGCTGTAGAAAGCCTATTAAAAGCATAGTGTGAAAACTAAATAAATGTTCGATATGCTGTAAGAATAAAAAATCTAACCACTTGAAGGCCTGTAACTGTTTACATATTAAACAAACAGTTTTTAATTTTTAGTAGATAATGGTAATTACGATTCTTTTTAATTGTGAAACAAATTATAAAATATACGTGTACTATTCATTTCGATATAGATGCAAAGCCAATACACAATAATTCCACTGGACAGGATCTTGTCTCAGGCAAAGAAGCTGTTCAATTTATCAAAGACCCATGCATTTCAGGAACAAATCTTAGTACTAAAGAACTAAATCAAAATATTCAAGACGATAAGTTGGATGCAGCTGGACAAAGTTTGTTTGTTCCGACCTTCAGCGGAATGAGCTCATCTTCTGTACCACAAACTAGTGATTGTACAACAAATCCTAGAGCAAAAATACATGCTATAATTAAGAATTTACTTGCTGGTCGTCAAAGCAAAGGCAATGATTCACCTAAATTAAGCGAAACAACTCAAAGATTACCTAATTGGTCCGGACTTGTAAAAACACCAAAAGAATCCAACAAATTTAGTGACACAAATTCCTCGAACTTAGATTTGCGAGTTGGCAGTGATTTTGATAAGTCTACCTGTCGATCTAACAAAGCTTCTGTATTTGATCAAACTTCACCATACTATATTCATTTTTCATTAGGTCATATCAATGCACACGACAATGAACAATATCATAGATTTCTGACCGTACCCCGTAAGGATCACATCAGTTTGAGCACATTACGTCTTAATCGAACTGGGGAGTCAGTTACATTCGACAGGTCAAATCCAACTTTTGAAGCTAACTTCATACAAGAAAGCAAACACAGTATGACAACTAGTTCAGATCAAATATTAATTGATAATATGGAGAATACCTGCATAACACATAATCTGAATTCTCAGTCGGAGAACCATTACCCAGTTCCACGAAGAAAAACGTACACTTTATCTAAATAAGTACCATTCAGAACAGTTAATTCAACCATCGCAAAATATTTCCTTAAAGTCACTAAATATTCCACAGAATAACCATGAAAATTTGATTATGTTAACTAAATCATCATACCAAAACAACCTCCCTTTCGAATTAACCGCCGAAAACTATCGACAAAAGTTAATTGATAACAAACAAAAACACTCGCAGCAAAAAAGTATGAATACAACAAAATTAGTTGGACAAACCATACGTCCTACTTTAGAAACAAGCAGAAATATGCACCAAAATCGTAGGAATACTAGTAATATTAATAATAACGGTAGTACTGGTAATCTTAGGGACAGTGAAAGCCTAGAGAGAATTAAGCATCTTGGTTTGTTAGCCAAGACTTTGGATGTAAAACTGAAGGTTAATAATACTGACACTGCTTCAGCTAATGCAAGCTACGAAAAGTCCATGAATCAACAGACATTTTTAAGATCAAGTATCAATGGCTCAAAAATAAATCAACCTTCAAAAGGTCAGGTATGTCCATTACACTATCAGTTGTTATTGTACTCTCATAATATTAAAAGAATGTGTTTTAATAGTTATACTTTGTGCTAATCAATGTTTAACCTAATCAAACAGTCATCATTTAATTTTCGTGACCGAATGATGAATTAAGTAGATACTGGACTGAGAAAGTCTTCATGTTTAGTGGCGATATTACTCCTGTGATTCTATTCATGGGATGAGAAAAAAGTTTTTAACATATTACAATAAGCATTTAGACTACTGATTAAGTATTCGAGAAAATTATGTGAATGACATGCTATTTTGTACCGACTAGCATATGTTGTTCCATTTGACTGTGCTTATTCATAACCTTACAAAAAAAGATTGGCAGATAGAAATTTGCTAAGACCTATAGTTAAAACATCCAATTGATTGTTAATAAGTGAAGGGTTCTTGTAACTGATTGTTTTGTGCTAAAATCCTTCCATTTCATTTTGGCAGGCGAAGTAAATGATTCATTTTAAGGTTTAAACATTCACATCGAAAGTTAGAAAATCATAACTTTTGCTGTCTGTCGTTTACCTCCATTTCTATTTAGAAATTCGATAGGCAAATATACTTTTATTTCCAATCCATAAGAGTCTATAAATATTTAATTCTTAAGTATATGTAAATTTCTATTATGATGATGTCTGAAACAATAAGAAGTTTTCAAATAAGGCCTGGTGCCTGTCTAATTAGCTAAGTGATGAAGTCTTTATATTAACTATGTATGATAATAATCCACTTAGTATAACAGTGAAAATTATTTAAACTTAGTTTTGTCAGTCACACTTTTGGTGGTTTATCGATGAAGTTGGTAACGAAGTAACCAAAATAATATATGTAGGAATTTGAAACAAAAGTGACATCCACTTATAGCTAAAGATTCATCTGACGTATAAAAAAAGACTGAGAGCCATTCATTATTTTCTGTCTGTGTGGAAACTAAAAATGATCAGAATATTCAGAAAAATGTCGATTTGTGAATTACGAAATCTAATTAGTCATCGAACAACTTATTAATTTTCTTTTTGTTTTGTTTTAGTCAAAGTGTCTGGCTAGAACGTGTTCAGAAATTTCATATGATCCAGAAATGAGCAAATCTCCGGTTCAGTATGATAATAGACCTAAAAGGTTTATTGGAAAAGATTCAACAATGAATACAAATAGATCAGTTTCACAATCGGTTCAACAAAATTGTCAACAAGCAAGTTTAAAATCCTCAAATCTTCATTCTACAGAAAAATTAATCATTCGAAGAAATGATGATATCAGAGAGAAACAAAATATTCAATCTGTTAATTACAGTTATTCACCACTAAAAATAGCAACTAACTTATTACCATCAGTGTCATCAACGAATTTAACTGATGAAAATTTTATTCAACCAAATAATATTTGTTGCAAATCAATTTATTGTCGACAATCAATAGAAAAATCACATCGTCGGCGTTTGAATTCAATTCATATCATACCTTCAGAATTACATCATAGTCAGCAAAAAAATGAACCATTTACTGTTTCTACCTTTGATAATAATAATAATAACGGTGGTTCTTCATGTGTTTCTAAAATTAATTTACGAACATTAAGATCTCAATCAGCAGACAGAGTAATAAAACCACGGACAAGTTGTAAAAATACAGTGCTTCAACCATGTTATCCGCTTCAGTCAGCTTTACCCAATAATTCATTATCTCGTTCAAAATCAAAACGAACCTTGGGCCTCACAATAAGTGATTCTCAGAAAGCATGCAAAATTAATTCACTTACACCAGTAAGAAGGCTTTAAACGAATATATTCAGCTTTCCTCATTGTTTTCTATCTTGATATAACTATATATATATATATATATATATATATCAAAACATGTATAACAAGTCTTCCATGCATGATATCTCAGTTAATCGAGTTCATACATATCACTGTGACTTTTTTCAATTCAATTTTATATTTTTTATTCACAGAACTAACGGGAACTTCAGGTTATTCATATACATATCTCTTGACTTTTCTTGTTTCTGTACATTGAACAGAGATCTATTCAGTATTTATTTACTTATAATTCATAACTGTTTATTGACTTTCATATGGAAATTATTGATGTTTATTGATTTATCTATTTATTTTGAGTGGAGAGGGGGAAAATAGGGTACACATCATTTATGTTTATGAACAGAAAAGAATATAACATAGAGAATAATATGTATTGATATTTGAATGATGTATTAGTCTTATTTGTTGTTTTCTTTAAACCTTTTCTATATCTATTTCAATGCTTCATTTCATTTTTATACAGTTAGATCATCTCATTTTTCCGTGTGCTTATTATAAGCATATAAAGAAACATTTAATTTCGTTGTAAATTATTGCAGAAAACTAAATAGCACAATTGTAAAGAAAAATACATCTTTTTTTCAAATGTTTTACCACAGACATATCATTATCGGTTACTATGGCAACCGTATCTCCATGTGCACGTTGGAGGTAAATAATACTTCACAAAAAAAAATGTCAACAAATACGAAATTTAGATAGATGAAAACAATTTATTAATATACACATATATATTTAGATTTTTTCTCTTTATCGACTCTAAAATTTCTTTCCATAGGATACAATGAAATAGAACTATATTGAATACTTTCGATAACCTATCTATGGGGTCATTTGTGTTTGTTAGATATATCATGATCATCATTATCATTGCTGTTCTTTGAATAATTAAAATCAAATGGTTTATTTAATTGTAAAGAATTAACGAATTATTCATTTATTTGTTTCAGACTAAAATACAATACCGTTATCATGGTAACGTGTAGTATACATATATATATATATATATATATATATATATATATATATATATATATATATATATATATATATATTGGTTAATTTGTTTGATTTTTCAACTTTTTTCCTCTCATGTATTGTTTCATACTCTGCATACTTATTACTTATATTCATTTATTTCTGATTAATATTGTCTGAACATTGAATGATCTTGATATTTCAGTTTAACATCTTGTTCATCTATGTGTAAAGTATTTTGATTTTAAACTATTCAGAAAAGATCTTTGATAGAGAGTTGGTTGATTTTCTTTTCATTACTTTTTTTTTCTGTTTTTGATTTCTTCTTTATAACAATATATGTTGAACATAAAACGACCCTGTGATGATTTTATTGAACAATTTGACTTTAATATTCTTCTTTTTTCTTTAATGTTAAAAAAAAATTGAATTACTTTCTGTTTACTTGAGTCATTTAGTTAAAATAAAATATATTTGGTTTATTCTTCTCAATACTTAAAATAGAACAAGGAGGAGCTGTGGGTTCTTTTCAATCAGTTCAACTATTTTCCATAGATTTATTGTACATATACATTTGTATTCTATTAATAAATAACTTGAAAGAATAATGAATACTTACCTTGTACATGTAGCACATTATTCCGATGCACTTATGTAGATGATTATGTAACAATCTAATATGCTTATCAACTAATTTCATATTTGAACATGTAACAAGATGATCGTATATTTGATTCCGTAACAAACAAACCATTTACTTTATATAAATAAATGATTGAATAAAACTATTGATAATCTTGTTTCTTCTATATTATGATTGTTTTTATGATAAAATTACCATTTAAATTTCAACCTTTTACGTTTTACAAATATTACTAATAACTCAAAATCAGTATTTTATTGTTCATATCATAACGTTACATAAATATAAACTGAAATAAATAAAACTACTACTACTTCTTCTTCTTCTCCTCAGTAATGAGTTCCAATAATAAATGCCAATTAGAGAACAGTCAATTATCGACCGAACCAATAATGCTTAAACCCGTACGAGCAGTCTAGAGTCTCTATAGGTCCTTCTTCCTGCCTAGACTTCCTATTGAACCCGTAACACCAATGTCAGCTTTCGCGATACAAATTGTGTATTTCACACATACTGGATTTATATACAAACCAAACAAACCAGATCGTACCATAAAATAGAAAATGATATTTTTACAAGATCTAGTCAAAAAGTGGCTGTGATCGTGGGAAACTGTAATCAATCAGCTGAGTATCATCTAAGAATATTAAATTCTATAATAATAATAGATTATAAGTCAAAGTAAAGCTTGTAATAAGAAGAGTATAGATATAGATAATCTAGTTATTGAATAGTTACACAATAAGATCATCCATATAATATTTGTCTATAAATAATTCTCAAAAGTTACCATTCATAATTCTCTTCGGGATGTATCACTAACCTTTCACAAACGTGTTTAAAAAAAATATACGATAAAATATACAGACGATAATTTACTGTAATACTTTTTTGTTAGGAAGGAAATATGTAGCCAGGAGGTTTCAACAAACAGACAGTATAAAACTGAAGCATCTGAAGTTTTATTATTAATTTTAAATATTGAAACACACTTTAAGCTAAAGACAGTTCATTTAGGGAAAAATCATAAACTTATTACTGCATAGCACTTTCTAGTTGAGCAGCTGTTTAGCATGTATTGTACTATTTGACCATTTATTAGCATATAAGTACAGCTGAATCAAATCTAGCTTGAGTTTTTTATAGTAAATAAAATGATAGCTTTGAGATAATAGATTTTTATTGGTGCAGAATGTTTAATCAACATAATGACGAATAAAACACTAGAATATGATAAGGTGATACAATTATACAGTGTTTATAATCTCTGATGATTATTTCAATACTGAGCAACGGACAAAATAATAGATCTCAGTTTGGAATTGGCAGTACATTTGAATGTTAAGTTGTGCCTCTTAAATAACAAGTTACGCGTAAAGAAGAACTAAATATACTTACTTCTCTTACCCATAGTGGATCAGAGGATGCCAACCAGGATTCTAAAACTAACACAGTCCTGGGCACTCCCTTCCATCTATTTCCAAGTGTTATTCCCAACGCAATGTGTTATTAGGTTTTCCTCTTTTCCCTTAGCCTTCAGGATTTAAAGTTAATTCTTGCCTATGATGCAGTTTGGTGATTTCCGAAATGTTGATCCTATCCGCCTCCAGCGTCTTTTCCTAATTTTAGCTGGAGGCTGTATTTTTCTTTTCCACAGTACGCTGTTGCTGATAGTATCTGGCCGATGGACATTCAGTATCTTATGTAGATAACTGGTCATAATTTCTTGTGCTTTTATTATTGATCGTTTTAATAGTTCTACAAGCTTCAGTTTCGTACAATAGAACTGTCTTGACGTTTGTAATGAAGACGCTGGCTTTGAACTTGGCTCACAGTTGTTTTCAGTTCCAGTTGTTTTTTAATTGTAGGGACGCTTCCATTCCTTTACCCATCTGTGCTTTCACATTTGCATCAGATCCCCTTTGCTTATTAATGATGCTATCAAAGTAAGTGAAAGTTTCCACCTCTTCCAGGGCTTCTCCATCAAGTGTGGTTTGGTTGGTGTTATTTGAGTTGTATTTCAGAATCCTGGCTTTTCCCTTCTGTATGTTGAGGCCAACTACTGCAGATAGAAGCTGATGTTACACCGGTTTTCTCTACCTGGATTTGTTGGTGTGTATGGAATAGAAGAGCTGAGTCACCTGCGAAGTCCGAATCGCCTAGTTGCATCCAAGCTGTCCATTATATTTCGTGCTTCCACTCAGATTTGAACGTCTTCATAATGCAACCGACCACCATAAATAAGAGAAAGGATAACAGTAAGCAACATTGTCTGACACCGGTCTTCATTTGGAATCCATCTGTGAGCTGCCCCTATGCACGAATTTGCAATGTACTCTGTCGTATGAAATCTGGATGATGTTGACGACTTTCTCATATATACCATAATATCGAAGAAAATTTTGACTGGCTTTCTTGGTTTACAGTCTTTCCCTGCCAGTTTTCTTCGCTGTATTATATAGCTGTGTCAAATTTACTTCTCTTGCAGCATTTTACGCTTCCATTACTAGCTTTTTGACGTATTCCTGCTTGACGGCTGTAATGCTCTTTCCCTGTCTTTTTTTCTTCTATGTATTAAGTCTGTGCCCTGGCCCTTTCTGCTCTTGTTCGACTTTTGTTAATTATTGTCTTCTTTTTCTTCCATTCTTTAATCTTTTCCAGGGTCTCGACAAAGATCTTTTACTTATGATGATGCACCATGCGGTCCAGAACGTTCTGACACGTCGAAGTTAATGCTTCTTTGATCCCTTTCCAGTTGTCCTCCATCGTAGTTTCTTCTTCACTCAGTAGATCCTGTAAAGCTTGGAACGTGTTGTTGAGAGCTATCTTGAATTCATTGAGTTTGTTAGTATATCAAAGGAAAGTTGTATTTAACCTTTTTAATTCTGATTGTTCAGTTGTCCAATGCTTCTTTAGCTTCAGTAAACGTGATTTATCTGGTTCTCTGTAGTGCAGCCCAGTGAAACCCACGTAGCTTTAAGTATGAGTTTGTAGGGGAATATATTGTCACGTATAACCGATTTGTTGAATGCACATCGATTTGCAAATCTCTCATCATCCTCGTTTCTCTCTCACAGTCTTTATCACCCCATGATATCTTCATAACACTTGTCCATTCCAACTTTGGCGTTTAGTTCTCCCATCAGGATGATCAGATCATTTCCTGAGTACTTCGCTATGACTGATTGCAGCCACTCGTAGAACTGATCGCTATTGCCATCACTGCCACCTTTCGTGGGTGCGTAACAATGGATAACATCCATTCTGATTCCCACCTTCTTTGTTTTGAAGGATGCTTTGATGATCCTGGGTTCACTTGTTACATCAATGAAAA